AAAGTTAACTAACATATTAGTGACTAAGCTAACAAGCAGCTTGGGTGGTCACTGAGGCAAAAAAAACCTGGATGTGGGAGGAGTTTGGAGAGGCCATGAAGAATGACCTCTGTACGGCTTTGAAGCGATTCTGGTCGAGCATCCGGCATCTCGGGGGGGGGGGGGGGGGAACACCACCCCAACACTATTTATAGTGGAGGTGGTGTGCTGCTGACCTCAATTCGAGATGTCATGGGTCGGTGGACAGAATACTTCGAAGACCTCCTCAATCCCACCGGCATGTCTTCCACTGAGGAAGCAGAGCCTGGGGGACTTTGGGTCGGGCTCTCCAATCTCTGGTGCTGAGGTCACCTAGGTGGTTAAAAAGCTCCTCGGTGGCAGGGCACCAGGGGTGGATGAGATTCGCCCAGATTTCCTTAAGGCTCTGGATGTTGTGGGGTTTTGATGACTTACACAACTCTGCAATATTGCATGGACATCGGGGGCAGTTCCCCTGGATTGGCAGACCGGTGTGGTGGTCCCCCTATTCAAAAAGGGGGATCGTAGAGTGTGTTCCAACTACAGGGGAATCACACTCTTAAGCCTCCCTGGTAAGGTCTATTCAGGGGTTTTGGAGAGGAGGGTCCGTTGGATAGTCGAACCTCGGATTCAGGAGGAGCAGTGCGGTTTTCGTCCTGGCCGTGGAACACTGGACCAGCTCGACACCCTCAGCAGGGTCCTGGATGGTGCGTGGGAGTTTGCCCAACCGGTTTACATGTGCTTTGTGGACTTGGAGAAGGCATTCGACCGCATCCGTCAGGGAGCCCTGTGGGGGGTACTCTGGGAGTATGGGGTACCAGGCCCTTTGATACGGGCTGTTAGGTCCCTGTACGACCGGTGTCAGAGCTTGGTCCCCATTGCCGGCAGTAAGTCGGGCTTGTTCCCGGTGAGAGTTGGACTTTGCCAAGGTTGTCCTTTGTCACTGATTCTGTTCATAACTTTTATGGACAGAATTTCTAGGTGCAGCCAAGGTGTTGAGTGGATCCGTTTTGGTGGCCTTAGGATTGTTCCTTTGCTTTTTGCAGATGATGTGGTCCTATTGGCTTCATCAAGTCATGATCTACAGCTTTCACTGGAGCGGTTCGCAGCCAAATGGGATGTGGCAGGGATGAGGAACAGTTCCTCCAAATCCGAGGCCATGGTCTTGACCTGGAAAAGGGTAGAGTGCCCTCTCCGGGTCAGGGAGGAGGTCCTACCCCATGTGGAGGAGTTCAAGTATCTTGGGGTTTTGTTCATGAATGAGGGAAAAATGGAGCGTGAGATCGATAGGCGGATAGGTGCAGCGTCTGCAGTGAAGCGGGCGCTGTACAGGTCTGTCGTGGTGAATAGAGAGCTGAGTCAAAAGGCGAAGCTCTCAATTTACCGGTAGATCTACGTTCCTACCCTCATCTATGGTCACGAGCTTTGGGTGGTGACTGAAAGAACAAGATCACGGATACAGGCAGCCGAAATGAGTTTTCTCTGCAGGGTGTCTGGGCTCTCCCTTAGAGACAGGGTGAGAAGCTCGGTCATCCGGGAGGACTCAGAGTAGAGCTGCTGCTTCTCCACATCGAGAGGAGCCAGTTGAGGTGGCTCGGGCATCTGGTTAGGATGCCTCCTGGACGCCTCCCTGGTGAGGTGTTCCGGACACGTCCCACTGGGAGGAGACCCAGACGAAGACCCAGGACACGCTGGAGGGACTATGTTTCTCGGCTGGCCTGGGAACGCCTCGGGATTCCCCCGGTGGAGCTGGACCAAGTGGCTGGGGAGAGGGAAGTCTGGGCCTCCCTACTTAAGCTGCTACCCCAGCAACCCAACCCCGGATAAGCAGAAGAAAATGGATGGATGGATGTTTTTTTTTTCTTAATTTATTGTAAAAATGATGATGTGGGTTTAAAAATTAAGGTGCCCAAAAGAATAAATGGCATCGCACAGAGAAAATAAAATATTGCAAATTTAGATTGGCTAGCTACCGTTAGCATATTCCACGCAGGTTACCGGTAGTAGCATAAGTGATTTTTTTAATGGGTTACTTTTAAATGTGAACAGGTCCTTGCTAACCTGATGTATCGCTGTTAGGATGCCTTTTTTTTCTTCTTCAACAGAAAACCAAGGGTTTGATGCATTTATGGTTATAACTGTCTTTTAAGACTATTATAGCACATTTTAGAGTTGATAGATTATGTGGCTTTAAAAGCTTGTTGAGCACATAAGTTGGGGCATTTAACACAACAGAAGACAAACTAGTTCAATTTACTGGATAGAAAAAATGTAGCTTTGTGTAAGGGTCATTCAAACAAAATAAACTAAGAAGGATTTTCTTTTTTTTCTGTTTGAAATTCAAGTGGCAATGTCAAGATTTTTGTCCATCATCCATTGTCTTGCGATTATCCAACTCATCTTCCAACCACCTCTTCCAGCTTTTCTGGAAGAACACCAAGGAATTCCCAGACCAGCAAAGAGACATGTGTCTCCAGCATGTCCTGGGTATTCCGGGGGTTCTTTCCCAGTTGGACATGCCCGGGAAAACTCCCTAGGGAGGCGTTCAGGTGGCGTCCTTTCCAGATGCCCGGACCACCTGAACTGGTTTGGGCATCTGAAAATACTCCGAATATTTACAGACAAAAGTTGGACCATTAGTTCTAAGAACAAAACCACAAGTAGTGAACCACTCTGTGCTCCTGAACCGGACTGTATTGATTCAGCGTTTTTTTAATTATTGCATTCAATTGATGTTTAATGTAGTTCACTCACGTTGACTAAACGAACTAGAAAAAAACGTGCAATATTTTATTTGAAGCATGGTTTATTACTCCCACTGCTGCGGACCTCACAAATCTTGCTTCAGTCCTTCACGATAAGTGACTCAATCGTGTACACTGACTTTACTTTTTAAAACTTTTACTAAATACCCAACAGTTGTTTAAAAAAAAAAACATTTATTATTGTTCTGCAGTAAAACAGATACTGCGGCTAAGACCATCAGGAGTTTTGGGAGAAGTCAACAGTGCATGTGTCATGAAGAAATGAAGAGATAAAGACCGCACCTCAGATTGGTTCAAGTAAAAAAACTACTTGTTAGTTTGTAGTTAACGCAGTAAAAGTGCACTTATTACAGTAATTATACAAATGAATCAAATGCAACCCGATTCAGGAGCACCATGGGTTCACTTCTGACATCCTGAAAGGTGACTTGTCTTTTTTTTCAGAAACTTATTTCTTATTTTAACTTTATGCCAACAGACCATCAAAACAGCAAAACAAACGGAAAAGGGTACAACAGAAACCTACGGTTTGTCGAACTCTGATTTACAAGAGGTTCTGGTGACGTTACAAAATAATAGTTTATAAACTGGAAACATTTCTCTGCTGATTTCTATATGACATGTCAAGTGCCACTCTGTCAACCGAGGATATTAGTTTTTTTTATACACAGCCAAGTAAGCAATGCTCGAAAATCACTGAAATCACATATTCATCTTTGTGTGTATCCTTCAACTGTGTCTTTTCCTTTTGTAGGGCAAAATATTCTTGTCCACACGTTGATACGGTGGCCGACAGGTGCAAACGTGCAGCAAACAGCAAAATGCTACAAACACGTGAATGATGCAAACACCAAAACATGCAAGTACAATAAAATAAATAACTCATCAACAAGCAAATGCAACAGAAAATGCTGCAAATACCAAAAACATTTCTTTCTTCTTTTGGCTGTTCCCTTTCTCAGGGGTTGCTACAGCGAACTAACTCGCACGAAGACTTGGCAGTTGTTTTTACACCGTATGTCCTTCCTGACGCAACCACAGACCACCAAGCTACCACAGCCCTCGGTGTGGAGCAGAGAGCTGCCATCTAGGGTGCCCGGTGGAGAAAATTGAAAGAGCACATCTATATTCCTGTGTTCTAATGATCTGAAGCAGACTCGCGGAGGCAACGGTTCCATCTTAAAAGGCTTACTTTTAAGTTTACACATATAATGTACAAAATCACCAGCCCTGAGTCGTTTTGGAACCGCCATGCCGACTCGGCAAAATGACCTTGAGCATTGGTTAATGCACACCTTTCATCAGAGCTTGGCCACACCTCCAGGAAAAAGTCGCCACCATCGACGAATGGGAAACTCTATCCTACAACACATGACAGCTCTCAACCAATGATACCTCGCCATCTTGTGTTCAAAATGGAGGATGCATGTGGCATGTAGGGATTTGTAGGCGTGTAACTATAACTACATTTTCTACTGGAAACAAAAGCCAAAATCAGAAGAGCTACCTCGTTTTATCACATGATATTAAACAATAACAACATTAAGAAAAACATATAGCCACACGTTTCTGTAAGCTAATACAATGGTTCCCAAC